GGTCTATAGTCACTGAGGGCTGATGGGTGAGTTTTCTTTGGTACTGGAACCAGACAGGATGTCTTCCACAACACTGGCACCTTCTCCTGGGTCAAGCTAAGGTTGAAGAGGTGTTCAATAAATAATAAATAAATAAATAATAATAATTAATAATAAGATGCTTAACCATATTTCAGTGTTGATTCACTCACATTTTGCTGTCTGGGTAATAATCATAATTTGCCGGAGGGTTAGAGGGGTTATGACCCCACAATAATTTGATCTAATTGATGTAATCCCCTCACCCCCCAACAAAACAACACCATTTGCTCTAACCCAATAAGAATGAACTGGTTACATACACAACTGCAACTCTTGTTGCAACTTTGACCTGATTTCAAAATTTACCATGTCACATAATATGACATATTATGTACATTTAAGCAAAATTGCTGAAAACAACATGCAGGGTTTTAAGTCTGCTTTTGTCACATTATGACTGGATTGTGYTGTAATTTTTCCTAGACAAATTGTTGTGCGCCAAGTAAATACATAATCTTGGAAAATTTTTGAAATTTAGGTATGTTGTTTATTACATCCTACAAATGTCAAATATTTGTTACTGTTGGAAATAATGTGTGTGAGTGTGGGGGGGTAAGCCTTTTCTTAACTGTTGAACTGATGTGAAACAGAAAAGGTGCAGAGTAAATACAAAAAACAAAACAAACAAAAAAAAGACAGGAAAGGCAAGGAAATCACAGAAAAACATTACAATGTATTTTAACCCCCAAATATCTTGAATGGTTTTACAAAAGTAAACAGTTCAATAAATAAATAGTCAGAGAGCAAATAACACCCCAATGGTAGAACTAAAGTCATGTCCTTGGTTAGGAGATCAGGATTCATGAACATGTGTGTGTGTGTGTGTGTGTGTGTGTGTGTGTGTGTGTGTGTGTGTGTGTGTGTGTGTGGTCATGTTTTGTAACAAAGTGAGGACATTTTTGGGAAGTGAGGACAGTTTTTTTCTGTTCTCATTTTTTGCAGCTCTACTAGTTATGTTTAGAGGNGTGTGTGTGTGTGTGTGTGTGTGTGTGTGTGTGTGCTACAGAGTGAGGACTGTCATGTTTTGTAACAAAGTGAGGACATTTTTGGGAAGTGAGGACAGTTTTTTTCTGTTCTCATTTTTTGCAGCTCTACTAGTTATGTTTAGAGGTTTGGTGTGAATTAACTTAAGGAAAATGTCTGTTAGGCATTAGTACAGTTACAAACATGAACGGAAGTCAATAAAAAAGTCCTCAGTTTGATGGAAGTACAAGAGTGTGTGCGTGTGTGTGCTTGTTTTTGTTACTGGACCATTTCCAGTTTACACACCTACCTTGTCATGACCAGTAGAGTAGTCCTAATGGGGACCTAAGGCTGGTCCTAATACGGTGGAACTCCATTTTTGGGTTGGGGGTTGGGTTTAGGACTAAAGTGTGAATTGAGTTTAGGTTAGTTTTGGGGTCAGGTTGTGAGGTTAGTCTTAGGGTTGGTGGTCAGGGTTAGGCTGTAGAAATGACTGGAAATGAATGGAAGTCAATGTACGGTCCTAATAAGGATAGAAATACAAACCAGTGTGTCTGTGTGTGATTGAGTGAGTGTGTGTGAGTGAGTGAGATAGGTACAGACAAACAGATGCAGTTTGAAGAAGTCACATCTCCACAGCTGAATGATTCATCTGTAACTGAAGTTACATCCTGGATTATCTGCTCATAAATCATGAGATGAAATGTAAGTACAGATTATTTCCTGCAAAACTCCAGTAAATATGAGGATTTTTTTTTCATGTTGCATTGATGTATGTTTACTTAGAAGTCACATGAAATATACTTAAGAAGTACAATTTTAAACAAATGATCACAAGAGTTGTTAGTGAAAAACAAATTACCTGATTTAAATTGACTTATTTGGACGGTTTTATGAATTTTGTCTTCTTTAGTTTAACAAAGTTTCACTTC